CAACCTGTAAGTTTTTGTTGCTCATTCAACTTTACTTTTTCAAAACCTACATTTTAAATCAGCTGGGCAACTGCTGAGTTTTAGTTAAGTGAGTAAATTTAACAAACTTAAAGAAAGTGCTAAAATTTTTTGGATCGCCTCGTCAGTGGTTTCTTGAAGATTGCTGACCGCTTGTCAAATAATGCCTTCTAAATCATTCGTTGATAAAAATAAAAATATTTTAGTGGAATAATTTTGGTTACGTAACACGAAGCAATCCAAATACATACTCAAGAATACTAAATTCTATGAACAGAGGTAGAGGTGAATCATCCTTAAAACATCCTCATTTACACAATAAGAAAAAGCAAAAGTCGGAGAGGAGAAACATATTCCATCTTGTCGGGTTCCTCATCAACTGCTATACACCAATACCCATGGTTTTTAATCGAAATTATATCGGTTATTTGGTTATGTTTTTTCATCCTTTTGGGTTCCAGGTGCAGAATAAGGCTTCACATTTCATCTCTAAGGTTTGAGCAGTTTAAATTAACCTGTTTATGACTTAACAATCCGTCGTTAGGTGATTTTTAAACTGAATCCTCGAATAACTTGGATTATACTGATTTGTTCTAGTCAGATTAACATCCTAAGAAAATGTACCTTGTGCATAAACAATAACATAGACTATCTTGTTATTATTGTTGTTGTCATTATTAAATTCCAACCTGTCCAAGTTTTCACTTAGTTGATTTTATGTATCCTAATTAATCAATCTTGTTTCTAGTTGTCTAAGCGATCATCATCATCATCATCAAGCATAAATTCTAAAAAAAAAAACAGAATTTACTTGACATAATCTTTGTGTTATTATAAAAAAATGTAAATTAGGAAGTATTTCCTTATCCCTTTCAAATGACACAGATGTGTTTATGCCTGCCTGTTATACACAGTGAGCAGATTTAGTACATTAAGAATAAGTGGATAACATATTTATGAAAATAAATTTTGCATCACTTTTATGATTTACTTATTAAATAAATGCGTTTTCTTATCATAACTATCGAAATTTATTAATCATTAACCAACTAACGGATGGATGAATATCTGTCCATGTTATTAGTATACACAAATAGCAACTGCATAACAGGACATTTGATTTATTGTAATTGTGTTTGGTGAAAAAGAAATATTTTTGAGTCTTCCTCCACCAAGCTTTTCATCTCTCTCTCTTATGACTGATATTGTCTGAAAGAAATATCGAACTCTGCAACACCATTCTGTTGTGGATAATATTCATGAAATGACGTTCGACAATTCATTCTCGGGCCGGTGAAAGAGAAGCTGTCAAGACATAACCTCCGTGACACATTCGACTTTATTGATTCAATAAAGAATATCAATGTGGCAGAAAAGAAAATGGTCTCCCTGGATGTTGTGTCTCTCTTCACCAACGTTCCACTGACAAAAACCGTATGTTTCCTTTGTGACTACATTCAATCCAACAGCATCTATGTCGGTTTACCGATCCATTACGTGAAAGAACTGCTACTTCGATGCACATTCAACGTATACTTTAGTTTCAACAAGAAATATACAGGCAAGTAGATGGAGTAGCAATGGGTTCTCCCTTAGGACCCCTCCTAGCCGACTGCTTTATGACTAGCTTAGAGAACAACGCTTTATTACCAACTATCAGCGACCTCCATTTCTACAAGAGATACATCGATGATAATTTCATTATTTGTGATGAGAATTGTGATTTAAAAAACCCACTTCAAATCTTTATTAACGCCCACCCAAACAATGACTTTACACTGGAGACTGAATCCGACGGAATGTTCCACTTCCTCGACGTCCATCTGACAAGAAACGCCAACAACACTCTGGAAAGCCTACATGGAATGGAAAATTCATCAACGTTCAGAGCTTCGGCCCCCAGAAAGAGGAACCCGATTTACGCTCTTTCCTCGAGGATTCAGAAGATATGCAGCGAGGAAGTGGTTGAAGAAGAACTGCGTAATCTTCGAAAAACCCTGATAGGAAACGGTTTCCCGTCCAGATGCATGGACAAGAATCTCCAATCTAAGGAGACTTCCGAACAAGTCCAATCCGTTCCAAAGAAAATACTTCTGCTTAATCTAGAATTCAAAGGTGATATTGAAGCAGAAATCCTTCGCAAACGCCTCTCCAAATCGCTGAGGAAAACATATTTCGCCGCGAGCCTACGACTGACGTTTTCCTGCAAGAAACTGTTCAGCCAGAACGCGAAAGACAAGCTGTCGCATTAGGCCACCTCAACGTGCAGATACTGGCTCACTTGCTCTTGTGGAGCTGAGTACATTGGCCGTATCATGCGCCAAATTTAAAAACGCGCTCGTGAATACTACCCAGCCTGCTTAGTAAAAGGATACCAAAAGCGTGTATACAGTTCAGTGACAGAATATCTGGTCAGTTCAGGACATTCAGCGCCTTTCGAAAAATCCTTCAAAGTAATATACAAGATTGAATCAAACCTATCAAAGGGAGTGAAATCAAGACATCTGGGCATAACCGAGGCGCTAGCTATACAAGAGCTCAAACCCATGCTTTGTATCCAAAAAAATAAGTCCAACCCCTGTCCCTGCCATGGCCATCATAAGCAGGTAATTTTTTAGTAATGGCCATTCCATCCCTTTTCTTATCTAAACTTCCTGTTTATTCATGTTATTTTAAGTTTTTCTTAATCCCTGCTTACACTACCATATTTTCATACCCGAACTTCGTGTTTATTTTGTCATTTTGCTATTTCTACAAATTTAATCCCTGATTGCATAAACAATTATTCATCACATTAGTTTCATTCTGCATTTTTCAACCTTTAGCCGAAATGAATGTGGAAAAAAATGTTACCATTATTCAGATATCACTACTTCGTGGTATCTTACAGAATTTGAGGTTTTGATGTAGCGCATTAGAAAATATCTAATATGAGATAGGTCACACCGTGCTAAGGCATTTCAAACTAAGACAATATTGCGAAAACCAAGTACTGGTACACACTCAATTTGCTAATGCTGGATATTTAAATCAAAATGAATATTTATTAATTAAAATTATTAGTTGGATAACTAATTTGTTGGTAGATGATAAACTGTCTACTAATTAATTTGTGTTTTTTCCACTCATGGTCACCTACTGAGAGCTGAAGTTTTTAACTGTTTACCATATAAGCCTCCTGGCTGTTAGGTTCAAGCCTCAATTAAAAACACTATCAACGAATTAGATGCATTGTTTATCTAAGAAATCCTAAGCTAAGAGAAACATGTATTCTGACCTCTACCAACTCTATCCTTCCCTGAACGGTTACTACACCTCCGTTCAGACGGTATTAAGCAAGTAACAATGATGAAGCTTTGAAAAACTCCACAGATATTGATTTATTTAGAATTATTTAAACAAAAAGAGGAAATTTACTGCTGATGCTCAAAGACTGTCTATCCTGATTTTCATCCCGGATAATCTGCTTGTTCTAATATTTGGTCTCATAGAAACAAAAATATTATCTTACCTAATTTAAATCATGACTTTCAACTTAATACCTGTGAGTAACTAGAAGACAAAACACGTAGTTCATCGAAGAGTCTCTTTTCGGTGAATTCATTTTCTTACCTGTACAATCGCAAATATATGTGTTATTTTGTATGTATGTGTACATTAAGTTTGTCAAACAAAATTACAGTTGGTTAAGGTTACTCTTAACTAAAAAGGTGAAGGTTGGTAATACAGGTCAAGAAAATTAGGTGTTAATGAAACTAGGGTAGTAACAAAGGTGATGAATTGTCACAAACAGTTGTAATAATAATATGACTAGTTTGATGAGTGATTTTTACTCACGATGCACATAGAAACAAAGTAGATACGTAAGAGTTCTAAATGAATACAAGAATTATAAACAATTAAAGAACAGGCAAAGAAACAAAATTAAATCATAAAAATAAAAATAAAAACTCAAAACATATCAAAACATTGTTACCATGAGAGTAAAAGTGGTTGAGTAATCTTCTTTTGTATGCACAGCTCCGGTTTTTCCATGTGAATGGCCAGAGCTTCAGCGATATAAAAAAGACGAAACCGTATTGCCTTTGATATGCTATTCTTGACTCTGTAGATTACTTTGAAAGAGGCGTTTGCTGAAGTGCAATGATCATTGTTGACCAGGTGTTCAATTATCGCACTCCTTATTGCACTACTATTACCTTTTCTAAACCATGCTGGATAGTGTTCTTGAATCCTCTTGGACAGGATGCACGTTGAACGACCGATGTACCTGGCTCCACAGCAGCATATATTCAAGGTCGTAAGATGGCCTTCCGCATCTCTTGTGTATTTCCAGTGAAGTTATTGCGCGTAGCAAACAAAAGCCTTCTCCGTTGCTCAGAACGTCAGTCTTCACAGCTGTTTGTTCACCGAGAAACCCCTGAAAATAATTCCCAGACTCCTTTCGAATTCACAGATGAAAACAAAAGAAGGTTGGATGTAATCATAGGAAATGGTCAGGAGCGGGTTCTTGTCCTTGAGGCTTTTGCAGATCAGTTAGCGACTGGAGAACACTATTCTTAGCGTTGCTACAAAGAATGTTCTTCTCAGAGATGATGTGATCCTTCTCTTGAGAATATCGTTTGCTAAATCTCCTTTGAAATCCAAGTTCATGTAGAGTTTTTTTTTAGGCGCAGTTAAAGTTTCATTTTTCTGAATACTAGAAGCTCACCTGAGTAGGCAGGTAGCATTTATTCACATGTGAATAAATCAATATTAAGGTTAACTGCCTATCATTTCACCATTTTATTTAGCGCATTCGATTCCACCATCTATATATTACTGTTTCTGATGTAATTATAATTTCACCTCTCCAGAGTTATTTATTGATTTGGAATTATAAAGACTGCAGAAGTTATTGAAAACAATTGTCTATTCAAATATCTCTTGTTTGCATTTATCTAATTGGCATTTCTGAATTATTATTACTTTGTACATTTTAGAGAAATAGATGATGTATCAATCGACAAACTACATTTGGATATATGGTAAGTTATGAAACAATTTTTGTGCAATTTATTTTTTTCTGTTTGAAAGTCAACCTCCCTATTTTACTTACATGCATTACTATCGTTTAAATATACGATTGCTGGGATAAATAATTGCAACTGGAGATACATGATACATTTCAACTGGAGAATAATTTTTTAACTGAATGATGAAATTTGATGAGTTTTTTCTTAAACGTAGTGTTACTTTCTATTGTTTGAGAGAACGTGCGTCGGTGGCACAGTGGTTAGGACTCTCGCCGACCATCCACATGGTCCAGGGTTCGAGCCCGCACCGACGCACATCTGATATCTATGGTCGGCCTGCAAAATTTGGGCTACCGATATCCATGCTGAAAATTCCATACTTGTACCGAAAATACAGTGTGGAATCAACCTGTAAATCAAAAAAATCAAAAAATAAAACATTACAATGTGAGTAACCGTAGACGGAGTTTCGGCGCAGTATAAGGAAAGCTACCCGTCCTGTAAGGGTCACTATGTTGATAGTTCCACGAAGAATTCAGTTTTAGACAAGTAATCAATATGATAATTGTAGAACACTTGACTAAACGTCTAATAACCTAAATAGCTTTTAAACTCAAAAGTGTTCGGTATGGATTACTTCATTGTTACACTTTCATCTAGCTAATAAGAAATTAGCAAATATGCTAGAGGATTATCCTTTAAAAGTGTATATCCTGTTAAAACTACGCATTTCATGATACACTCGTTAACTTTGGTTTGAAATTCGGAAGTGTTGTAATGACAAAGAAACAAGAATTCAAGCTCGGAAAACAGTGAAGTTGATAGAAAGAAAGCTAAGGAATGAGTGTATAGCAAAAGATGTTTACCTCCCTCCGCCTACTTGAAAGGGTAGAAGGATGGCAATTAATTTATTATTTGAATTTTCTCAGGCAGTTGCTCTTATATGATTTTGTATTATGCGCTTAGAGGAATACTGTAATTATATCACACGTTGCGTCTGCCTGTTTTAAAAGTATCCCATTAATTGTTTTACTTGGCCAGAGTGTGTGTTGCCATGTCTGCCATGCTTTACGAGAAAATACCTTACGATTACTTTTACACTTACCCAAAGCAAGCAAGTTGGTCATTTGTTCTGTTTGACGTCACTTTTTTTGCTCGGGAATTAATTTCAATCTGAGAAGTAATCACCAGCTTACCACCTGTTGATTCACTTAACAGTCGAGTAGTGTTGTAAACCATTTATTTATGTTTTCTCAAAAAAAAGACATTACCATGAGTTAATGGTGAATAAAGGATATTTTTATATGAGTTTTAAGTTAGAGTAATAAAGAAAAAATAAATTTCCAGCATTTTCGGTGTCTCTTAAGGTAAGCTGGAAAATTTGCACTGCCACTTAATAAGACTACCTTTTCATCATTTGAGTTCTTAGCCTAACTGCTGGTTAAGTTTACCAAATAGATATGATGCAATTTGGGTAATTATTTCGGGAGACAAGGGAAACATGACGGGCAGAATTACTGCAAGTTTGCTGGGAAAGTCAAGCAAGCGGAAAAAATTAAAGAAACACTGACGTCTAAGAAATATTTAGCTGATAACATACAAGGATCTGCAATAAGAAGGTTACAAAAATCGTTGTTAAGGTCGATAATGTCAGCAAGATACCATTTTTTTCGTCTTCTGGAATTTTCTGCTCCAAAAGTTTTTAACTACTTTAATGATTACTTTGCATTTTTATATTTCTTTTATGCCTCACTGAAATTGAAATTACTGGTGATTCTCTAACTGCCAGGAGATAGAAATTCCTGTGTAGACAGTAAAACGTATTTCAGTGTATAACTGTGGGGTGGAGAAAAGCTGCTAAAGGGTGTTTTTCCAAGAAAAAGGAGTTTTTCTTTTTGAGTGCCACCTGTTCATCTGTAAAACTGGTGTTTGTTAGGTTCAGATACTTTGTCGAATTCAAAAATTGAAATATTGAGAAAAACAAACGTATTTAAGTCTCAGTAACATTTATCAAAAACACCAGTGTTAAGACATTTCTTCGAAATGGGTTAGAAACTTGGCACATCACGAAAAGCATTTCCAACAGTTTGTAGACCTTTATTAACAACTGCCTTTGCTGGCTTCATTTTTGAAGATCAAATAGCCGGAAATAATCAGCAACAAGGAACTCTGGGAACAGACTAACTAAGAACCTATAGCTGAACAAATATGTTGGAGGAAATGAAGACAGATTAGACGTATACTGAGTTATACAGGCCGTTTCTCAAGTGGCAACCGAATGGGAAATGACTAGTGGGCCATTCGTAGGGTAACAGGGAGGAGATCGTGTGAGGAGAAGATGAGAGATTATGGACAATTGTGAGCCAAGCCAAGGAGAGCAGCAGAAAATAGAAGAAAAAGGTGAGGTGTTATTGAAGCCATTTGTTCCATTCAGAACCCAGGAGAACAATATTAATAATGATAAACATTTATCGAGACAAACTAAACTGTGTAAAAATTTTGTTTTCTGTGTATTGACAGCTGAAACTGCACACTGACTGAGCTCTGGATTGTGACCACTGTCACTTGTCTAGTCCTTAGTAGTGCTGACTGCATTGAGGTTCATTTAAGAAAATAACCTTGTGTTTAGAGGCAGTCAGTAAAAAGTAATGAGGCCAGGTTACGTTCTTACTGGCATTTGTCAAGGCGAGTATCTGCAGCATCACAAAAATACACTCAGGCTGCTAAAAGCTCGGTAGTGATGTCTCCTGTTAATTGTATTCAGCCTGCTAATAATACCTCATAATCTGTCGTCACTACTCATGTATCAACCAGCTCCAAATTTAACTCTCTAGAAGGTGGATATTTTAACACAGAGCGGACTATCATTACATAGTTCACTATTAAAATATATATATATTTAAGCATAATAATTCAGATACGTGAATACATTTTGTATAATTAGAGGCATAGGCACAATTTGAGATTTATTCCATGTATTATGCAATCATGTGACATAATTAATAATCAAAGTTTAGCTTTTTTATATTCTCTGTAGAAGAATTTTGAGCAAATTGTTATTATATTTAGCTAAGAAAGAAGTAGAACATCTACTTTCATATAATATATATGTAATGGGATGGTAAAAGCGAATGTTCACTGTGTTTCTGAAAGTAATGACAAAAAAAACGATTGCATATACACATTACTTTGATCATTCATGCAAAATGGTTAAAATATCTACACAAAGAAATGAGTCTATGTCAGTCATTGCCATTTGTATTAATTGCAGATATCCAAGCGACATATTTACTTACTTTTAACTTGAAGCTGTCTGATAAAAATATAAGGATTATTTCTTGACTTACACCGAGAATTGATATCAGTTAGAGAACCCCTGAAAACCAAGGAAAACTGGACTGCTGTCTCATCCTAGTTTGAGAGTCATGGTCAGTACGTACCCACCGGATTTGAGCCCAGGATCTTCCGGTTACAAGGAAAGTTCGTATACCATTCAGCCACTGGGACCTGATTCAATGGTCAGCCCATGAATTCTAACTTCTACCAATTCATGTTTTAGCGCCGCCAACAACCTTTGTCATCCCCGGGAACTCTATCCTCATCCCCGACTTGATGGACCTCACTGGTCAAGACTTCTCACTAGGGCTACAGAAAACCCCGTCTTGTAGCAAGCCAATAGATGCTATCAGATTATTCTTCTTGGAAATTTCTTGAAGATATAAGAATTGGTAATAATACTTATGGACACTCACTTATAGCGGGAGAAACCGGTGATGCTGTTATGTTCATGTGTATCAACAGCTGTGTTATATCTAGTTAACTTTATTTTTCATTGTATATTACCTTTCATTGAATTACTGACATCCCAAGACTACTATTTTGCTGTCGTTGAATACTTTTATAACAATATTAGCTTTACTTCGTCACCACTATTTTCATCTGAAAATATTACTCGTTATACCTTTCTGGATTGATGACAAGTATGGGTTCATAAGATTCATAAGTAAAAATTTTATCAACATAAAGTATATGTTGTAAGTGACTTCAATTAGAATAAGAGTTGACGGCTATATAGGGGGTATGATTACTATAAGAATATATCCAAAGATGTATTTACCTGTATTTACTGTATATGACCATACGTTTTGCATCTAATATGTTTCACACGATTTTGTGAAAGGTTTCTTTTTAGTCGGAATTGCACTACGCAATTTGTTTTTTACGTGTAACGCTAGCTACATGTGGTCAGTTACAAGTAGAAATATAATAAAGTGAATAAAATTTTTGATTGCAATAAGTTGAATGTCAATAACAACATCACCAATTTTATCTTATATTCTATCGTAAAAAAGAATTATAGTCTGTCACATTATGGGTGAAATTGAGAACGACATTTCTTTTCCATGATACTTGTACCCTTTTCCCATAAAATACAAAAAATAAGCTATCTTATTTAAATTTCCTCCGGCTAATTTATGTCACAATTAATTATATTCATACGTTGGGTTGTTTATCTCTAAGCATCAATACTTTCATCAAGGTTAGGGCTTTGCATCAACAATCATTTTGTTATTTATAATTCGTATGTGTCTTTTATGAAAGACTTTTGGTAGATGAACATTTTGAAGTTTGCTTCTTTCACTGAATCATATCCGATCAAAATTATGTCCATATTGACCGTTTCATGTTCTACATCGTCATCCATCTTATGTATATATGAGTTACAGCAAGCGGTAACTGAAACACTGTAAGTTTAGATGAAGGAGACATACGGGGTTTTTCTTTGGCTTCGTGGAGCACTTTATTCATTATTATCTTTTTATTCCTTCACGTTCCCAATGGAAGAAAAGGCTTCAAGTTTCGGTAGCAGTTCCTAGCCTCATGCCCAGCCTTCCTTCTTTGCCAGTGAGTGAGATGAAGGAGTGCAACAGCTGGGAATCGGACCTCGGACCACATGCGTGGTCCATAATAACTGATTTATCATTATTATATCTTTTAATTCCAAGAGGAAC